AAGATAATTCATGTTTTTAATATTATTAATTGAAAATGAAGGTAAAATCAAAATTCAAAAAGCCTATTAATGGAAAAAGAAAAAAAATATTTGAAAGTACAGTTAGCAAAATCTAAAAGATGGACCGTTCTAGAGCATTTTTTAGCAATATTTTTTTCCTTCAGTTACACTGACACCAACAATACACATAGGCAAAAAAATAAACAAAAAGTAATCCTGAGGTTTCTGAAATGTTCATTATGAAACTTTACTTTATGTATATCCATGATTATTTTCTATTTTAATGTGATTAGTTGGTACTCACTATTAATTATAATGTGAGTTCCCCTTCGGTCGGGGAACTTCAGCGCTATTAAGTGGATTTGATCTTTGTGAAAATCCACGAAATGGGAGGATTCGGATCAGAAGCCGCTTGTCTGGAGAGTATTGAACGGGCCAATGAATGAAATGAATTGGCAGCGTAAGCTTGCGCAGGTGTGCTGCATTGCCAATTATCCCAGCATATAAGCTCACCTGGAGCGAGCAAACGCCATCCTTTTCGCTTCAGATCCTTTCTGAGTGAGTTGATGAGGGTTCCTCTTGCTATTCAGCACTTCAGAGTGAACGAGTGTCTCCCGTTCCAGAGTGGGAAAGAGCAGTCGGATGCGATGGGCAATGTCATCTATCAGCGCGGCCGTAAGCCCGCTCCGCCCGCCGAGCCATCCACCTTCGCTGCTCCTCGCCGAGGGCCGCGCGCCGTACACCTCGAAAGCAGGCAGCCCCCCCTGCCCAGGGCGCCGTTTAGTACGGTAAACGGACCGCGAAGCGTCCCTGAGACAGGCCATCCGGAGAAGAGGAAACTTGCTCTTTCCCTGCTGGAGGGCAGGGCCCCAATTACAACGGTACTTTTCAGTGCCACCAAAACATCAATGAAAGAGCACTTTTCCCCTTCCCAGGATGTGACAGCACGAACTCTGCCAGTCCGGGACGCGCTGCCTTCCGACTTGCAGATTCTACGTGCTTCGCCAGTGGCTCACGAGCGCTGGGGGGACGGTCTCCCTTCCCTCAGCCCTCCAGCCCCCTCTCCGGAGTTAGGGTGCGGAGCCAGAGCGAATCGCTCTCCTCCAGCTGTTCTGTGGGACCCTCGTGCTTCCCGGATCAGCACACCCACTCCGCGCTGCCCCACCGCTGGTACGTCAGCGATTGTAGCGATGACTCCAATAGCGAGGGCTCTGTCTGCCTGGTTAGCGTGGGCCAGCCCCTTGCGGTGCCTTCCTGGCGAAGGGTGCAATCGAGCCAGTTCCTCCAGCCGAGATGGAGAGTGGGTTTTACAGCCCATACTTCATCGTACCCAAAAAGAGCGGTGGGTCACGACCAATCCTAGATCTGCTCGTTTTGAACCGCTGTCTGCACAAGCTGCCGTTCAGAATGCTCACGCAGAGGCGCATTCTCCAATGCGTTCGTCCTCAGGATTGGTTTGCAGCCATAGACCTGAAGGACGCGTATTTCCATGTCTCCATTCTTCACGCCACCGCCAATTTCTGCGGTTTGTGTTCGAGTGTCAAGCGTGGCAGTACAAGGTCCTCCCTTTCGGGCTCTTTCTGTCTCCGCGGGTCTTAACCAAACTCGCGGAGGGTGCCTTAGCGCCCCTTCGGCTCGCGGGCATCCGCATATTCAATTATCTCGACGACTGGCTGATTTTAGCCCACTCACGGGAGCAATTGATTATGCACAGGGACAAGGTGCTTGGGCATCTCCGCCTACTGGGGCTTCAGGTCAACCGAGAAAAGAGCAAACTCGTCCCCGTGCAGAGGATCTCTTTTCTCTGGATGGAGCTGGACTCGATCACCATGGTAGCGCACCTCTCCAAGGAACGCGCTCGCCTGTTGCTGAACTGTCTGAGGGAGCTCGACAGCAAACTAGTGGTCCCACTGAAGTTCTTTCAGAGGCTCCTGGGGCATATGGCATTCGCAGCCGCCGTCACCCTGCTCGGATTGCTCCATATCAGACCACTGCAGCACTGGCTTCACGATCGGGTCCCAAGACGCGCACGGCACGCGGGCACACACCGGGTCTCTGTTACTGCGCTGTGTCGCCGCACCCTCAGCCCTTGGAATGATCCCTCGTTCCTACAGGCCGCTGTGCCTATAGGACAGGCGTCCAGCCATGTTGTTGTTTCAATGAGTGCTTCCAACACGGGTTGGGGGGCCGTGTGTTGCGGGCATGCAGCTGCGGGCCTGTGGAAGGGTGCCCAGTTGCATTGGCATATCAATCGCCTAGAGCTGTTGGCAGTGTTCCTCGCTCTCCACCGCTTTTTACCGGTGCTGGAGCGGCAACACGTGCTGGTTAGGACGGACAGTAAGGCGGCGGAGGCGTAAATCAACCGCATGGGGGGTATGCGCTCTTGCCGCATGTCTCAGCTCACCCGCCGTCTGCTCCTCTCGAGTCACCCGCGGCTGAAATCGCTACGCGCCATTCACGTTCCAGGCACACTCAATCGTGCAGCCAATGCGCTCTCACGACAGCTGTTACGCTGTGGAGAATGGAGACTCCACCCCGAGTCTGTTCAGCTGATATGGGCGCGATTCGGGGAGGCCCAGATTGATCTGTTTGCTTCCCCCAAGAACGCTCATTGCCAGTTGTTTTTTTCCTTAACCGAGGGCTCTCTCGGCACGGATGCACTGGCCCACAGCTGGCCTCGGGGCATACGCAAGTATGCGTTTCCCCCAGTGAACCTGCTCGCGCAGTTACTGTGCAAGGTCAGGGAGGACGAGGAACAGGTTCTGCTAGTTGCGCACCTTTGGCCCAACCGGACCTGGATATCAGAGCTCTCACTCCTCGCGACGGCCCTCCCCTGGTGGATCCCTTTGAGAGAGGACCTACTCTCTCAGGGACAGGGCACCATCTGGCACCCTCGCCCCGATATTTGGAACCTCCACGTCTGGTCCTTAGACGCGAGGAAGACTTAGGTAACCTACCGACTGCGGTGGTTAATACCATCACTCAGGCTAGAGCCCCCTCAATGAGGCGCGCCTACGCCCTGAAGTGGAGTCTATTCACTGAATGGTGCGTCTCTCGCAGAGAAGACCCCCAAAACTGCCAGATTAGTGTTGTGCTCTCTTTCCTTCAAGAGAAGCTGGACAGCAGGATGTCGCCCTCCACTCTTGAGGTTTACGTGGCTGCCATCTCCGCTTATCATAACGTGGTAGCTGGCAGCACCGTGGGAAAGCATAACCTCATCATCCGGTTCCTTAGGGGTGCTAGGCGAATTAATCCATCTCGCCCCCCTCTCATGCCCTATTGGGATCTCGCCCTCGTTCTCACGAGTTTGCGAGCAGATCCCGTTGAGCCACTCGAATCAGTATCCCGCTCGTGTTATTTGCCCAAGGTTCCTACCCCCCCCTTTAAAGATCAGGTAGTGAACCTGCAAGTGCTGCCCCCGGAGGAGGCAGACCCAGCCCTTTCTTTACTTTGTCCAGTTTGCGCCCTGCGCATTTTTGTGGACCGTACTCAGAATTTTAGATCATCTGAGCAGCTCTTTGTCTGTTATGGCGGTCGGCAGCAGGGAAGTGCCGTATCAAAACAAAGATTATCCCACTGGATTGTGGATGCCATTTCACTCGCTTATTCGAGTCGAGGTCAGCCGTGTCCCCCGGGAGTGTGTGCACACTCCACTCGGAGCGTTGCATCCTCTTGGGCGCGTGCACGCGGCGCCTCTCTAACAGACATCTGTAGAGCTGCGGGCTGGGCGACACCCAACACATTTGCAAGGTTTTACAATCTGCGAGTGGAGCCGGTTTCCTCAAGGGTATTAGGTAACCCTTTGGTGATTGAGGAAACAACTCGGTAGGGTGTTGAGACACGCTTGCTGTGCCATTCTCCTTAACACGGAGATACGTGCGCCTTTTTATCTGTCAGTGAAGTTCCCCGTCAGGTGAGCCCTGCAGATTCCCCCGTGGCCCCCAGCACTGACTCAGCGGAGGAGTCACTTGCTGGCTCACTACATTGTAGGTCTGCCTGCTGGTCAGCCCGCTTTTGGGTATAGGTGCCTGCTATGCGTGATCCCCACTAGGCGATCCCATATGCTTATTCTGCCACGGTTAAGTCCCCCCCCTGGGCGGACCCGTGTCTTCCCTCTCCGCTAACCACTCTTTTGGTATGCGTACTCCCCCTTTTTAGGGCTAGTCCATATGTAAATTCTGCCATCTATCCCCCTTTGGGTAACGGATGGCCTCCGCAGCGTCCTCCCTATCGGGATTGCACGCTTCCCAACGTACTGTCGTATTTTCCTAGAATTATCTAGATGCTCACGACTTCCCAAAAAATAAATCTAATTCCGTAAGACTCCTGTTGAAGTAGGATAAATTAGGGCCAGGGACACATTGGAGGACCGCGCCTCCCATGATGTGGGTGCGTCACGCTTGCTTAACTATCCCCTCATCGGGGGCATTGGTAAGGTGCAGTCATTATGGAGCTTTCCATAGTTCTCCCATTTTGTGGATTTTCACAAAGATCAAATCCACTTAATACCACTGAAGTTTCCCAAACGAATGGGAACGTTCGAGGTTACAGAAGTAACCCTTCGTTCCCTGAGGAGGGGAACGGAAGTGCTATACTACGTCGCCATAATGACTGTCCCTTAGCTGTTTGAAAGTCTTTTCAGCTTAAAAGGATGGCGTTTGCTCGCTCCAGGTGTGCTTATATGCTGGGATAATTGGCAATGCAGCACACCTGCGCAAGCTTACGCTGCCAATTCATTTCATTTATTGGCCCGTTCAATACTCTCCAGACAAGCGGCTTCTCATCCGAATACTTCCATTTCGTGGATTTTCACAAAGATCAAATCCACTTAATAGCACTTCCGTCCCCCTCCTCGGGGAACGAAGGGTTACTTCTGTAACCTCGAACGTTAGTTGGTACTCACTGTCAATTATTTTAATTTACTGAGAACTTACTGAGTACTATTTACTGAGCAGTTGTTGTGCCACACATATTTTTATTATAAATTGCTTGAGACTTACCTGCCACTCATGAGGAAACCCGTGACCAAGGCAATGAGGATGATGCCCACAGTCACGGCGACAGCAATGATGGGCACCTGACCCTGCTCACTTGAGGCTGCTACTGCAACACACACACCACAACAAAAAGGGGTGGGATTAGAGCCTGTTAAAAATTTACCTAATTGCATGATACAAACTTGTAATTCTGGGAGGAAATTCAAAGATGTGAGATAAAAAGCTCAACATGGTGAGCAAAATGCCTAAACAGGGACAGACCTATAAGCATGCAATTGTGAGAAGCACAGTTGCAATATCGAGGAAATAATATGTGAAAGAATATTGACAAAGACAGAACTACAAAAAGTTTAAACTTCTTAATTCTTCTGTTCTCATAATTCTGACTGAGAAAAGGGTTTTAAAATAGACAGATAATTTTGGTGGTAACTTGCCCAAACAAACCCTAACAACCCTACCACAATTAGGATATTAATTTAAAAGAACCATCTGACCATTTTCTTCATTTATTCTTGTCAAACTGTGACAACTTTACATTAAATATTTATTTACCGATTGAGTGATTGATTAATATGTTATATAAATCGTCATATTCCTAATTATTAATAGCCATAGTATATTTACTACTCCTGGATATGTTTTACACAGTGAATGCTCTTCCAAATTCCAAATTCACCTATAGTGCATGTCTTTGGGCTGTGGGGGAAACCAGAGCATCCAGAGGAAATCCATGCAAACACGAGAAGAACATGCACCACACAGAAATGCCAACTGGCCCAGCCAGGACTTAAACCAACGACTTTCTTGCTGTGAGGCAGGAGTACTAACCACTGAGCCACCGTGCCACCCTGGGAATTTTATTGGTTGATTAATTGATCGACGGATTGACTGACTGGTTAGTTGGTTGGATGGATGGTTGGTTGATTGGTTGATTGATTGATTGATTGATTGACTGACTGTCTGTCTGACTGACTGACTGGTTGGTTGACTGACTGGTTGATTGATTGACTGATTGATTAATTGACTGACTTACTGATTGATTGATTGATTGATTGATTGATTGACTGACTGGTTAGTTGGGTGGTTGGTTAGATAATTGATTGATTGATTGATTGATTGATTGATTGATTGATTGATTGATTGATTTATTGATTGATTGATTGATTGATTGATTGATTGATTGATTTATTGATTGATTGATTGATTGATGTGCTACATTTTAGGACTTTTTACTGCATTTAGCAATCGTTGGTAGATGTAATGCAAACATTATTTTTTATTGACTGGTTCATTGATTGATTGAGTAGTTGGTTGGTTGCTTGGTTGGTCAGTTGGTTGATTAATTGATTGACTGACTAGTGGGTTGGTTGGTTGGTTGGTAGTAATAATAATAATAATAATAATAACAATAATAATAATAATAATAATACCTTTTATTTATAGGCGTCTTTTAAAGCACTCAAGGACACCTTACAGTATGTCACAGGCACATTATAAAAACAAGAGAGAAGAGTAAAAAAACATAGTATTAATCCAGAAAATCATTAAAATCAATCCTGAACAGAAAGGTTTTAAGCTGGGATTTAAAATTGTCCACATGACAAATATCTAACGGCAGGGAAGTCCATAACTGTGGTGCTATGCAGCTAAAAGCCCTGCCACTAAATGTTTTCATCTTAAAATTTGGAACTGACAACAGTTCAGCCGAAGAAGACTTCAGTGAGCGCCGAGGAGTGTACCAGTGAAAATATCAGAGAGATAATCGGTTGCCAGGTAGTGAAGAGCTTTGCAAGTTAATAAAATAATTTTATATTGTGCATTATAAAGAACAGGAAGCCAATGCAAGTGAAAGAGAATTGGAGTTAAGTGTTCTGAAGCTCGCGAGCGGGTGACTACCCTAACTGCTGAGTTCTGGATTAATTGTAATCTGTGAAGATGGTTAAGAGGCATACCAGATAGGAGGGGATTTCAAAAATCTATCCTTGATGTAACCAGAGCATGTACAAGGAATATGATTATAAATGATTATCATAAGAGGATAAAACAGATGTAAGCAATCCTTGATGAATTTGATCAATCTTGGCACAGAGAAAGTTGGAGTAAAGAACAAACTTAGTTGGGGCAAGTGAAAGAGAGTCATGTGACCTCAAGAGTTTACCAACTGTACAGAACAGGGTCCTAGAGTTCGAGAGTCCAGTGTTAATAAGACTCGAGTAGTAAGCTGATTTTGCTCTTTGTACTGCAGTCTTGTAAGCGGCAAGATGGTCAAAATACATCTGCTTATGGATTTCAAGACCAGATTTTCCAGAGTCATTCCAGGCGATGCCCTACAGCTTTTTGATGTCGCAGTTCAGGAGTAAATCAGGGAGAGGGGTTGGTATAAGATATGGTGAGAGTTCTCATAGGGGCCACAGTATCCAATATTTGAGACAGGCTATTATTATAAAAGTGCATCAAGTCAGAAGTAGAAGTGGAGATACAATGATTGTAAGAATGGTTTATCATTTCGTCAAGGATATTATAATCAATGTTCTTTATATTGCGAAAAGAGAAAGAATGTGAGGGTTTTACTCTTCCCAGAGAGAGACAGAGACATTAAAAAGTACAGACTTATGATGTGGCAACACCAGAACAACATACAAGGTCAAGAATATGCCCCTTGGAATGTGTAAGAAAATTAACATATTGGATAAGGTCAGCACTGTCCAGGATACATTTAAAATCATTATACAGGGCGTTGGTGGTGTTATCAAAGATCAATGGCCCAGGAGTTCAGATCAATGACTGTAAAAAATATGGATGACGCGACAGCCCCTTTTCCCATTAAACACCTTGAGGGCAAAACGCCTGCTTGACGGGCACAAACTGTCTCAAAAGACTGCTGAAATTAGTGCCTGGACATGCGCAGAAGGACTGTCTGATGGAGCCAGAGGAGCAGCGAAAATGAGCGGAATCGAGCTTCCAACCAAACACTTTATGTAAAATCAACCACGCCCCTCGCACTTCTCACTTGACTGCCGGTATGTGCACTACTACAAAGGCTCGCTGATGTAAATAGAAGCACTTACATTTAAAAACGCTGAATAATGTACGTTTAAAAACGGTGTGATGTAAGCTGTTATGCTTTAATAAAAGCAATACATGCAGGACTGCAGAAATAAACAATCTTTTATACACTCTAGCCTGAGTTAGACTAATATGAGCACAAATAATATATTCTCTTATAACAGGGTTGTTGGTATTTATTATCTTCATAGGGGGTAGAAATAACACTTGTAAAATGTGAACAATAACATATAAACAACACGTACATTTTTAGAAAGGTTTTTATTTTTAATTAGCAACCAACAGAACCCAAAATATAGCCTACACACCATAACAATTTACCAGGCGGGAACAATCGTGCGTTTAGAAGATAAATACAGCAAGATTACTAAATATCAACAGGATATTTACACATATCAACCCTACAATTTGTCAATTTGGGCAAAAAAAACTTTTGCACTGCACTATTAATACAATGTCCATCTGCTGCAACATCGCTAGTATATTGTTTATTGATTTTCGCTTAAATTGTTTATTTATTTAATTTTATTGCCTCCCCTTTCATTTGGTTTATTCGATAACTTCATTATATCTGGTAATGAGGAATTTACATTCATTTTAATGTTTAGTTAAGGTTTTCAAATAAAACGCCAACAGTAAATGATGTAAAAAAAAAAAATCTAACATTTACAGCTCGATTAGGCTATATAAGATTCGGTTTCAAGAACCTTATAATGTTTTATAACAGCAAATTCAGTAGATTACTTAATAACATGACAAAACTTAAAATGCAGAGACGTCCTGTAAAGCAAGTTCAAATAACCTTACAGGAGATCAACGTGAAGATTATTTTAGACACATAAAAATAATTACTGCTAACGACCACCTGTATTTTCCCCGTACTTTAAATAGTTTATTTTATTGTGCAGTTTTATTGTCATTTTTATATTGAAATTCCTAATTCTAGTGCACTACAAAATTTATTCCATTTTATTTTTATTTAATACTTGTGCAATCAATACAGGTTTATTGTTATTTATTTTGTCCTTTATTTAAATATTTGCGATGTATGCTGTTTGCATTTTTATTCAAAGGTTAAACTCAGTACACTTTGCGTTTAGCCTGCGTTTGCTGTTATATCAACACAAATGGTTGTAATAAGTTAACAAAGGTGAGGGTTTTATATAATGAAGATTCAATCACGCCTTCTCCGGGCCGCAGCACACATAACCTACTCGCGGCGTCGCGGGCCGATTCCGGCTCGCATGCGGCAGCGTCGGCTCGCTCGGCTGCCGCATCTGCCTCGACACAGTAACACAGAAATCGAATAATAACACTTCAGTCTCCTGCCCAAGCTCAGACAGTCTGCTTTGAGAAACTGTCAATCACAGCTGTCAATCACAAAGACACGCCCAGCAATAAATTACTGCTAAAAACAAACTGTTTACAAAAAGGAAGATCTGCACCTATTTCAGCACAATAATCAGTGCCTTAAACGACCACAACCATCTTTCGGGACATTTTATTGCAAGTGTATTTAATTGTTTTATTTGTGCTCAAGTCTCATTCATTAACACGGAGGAGGCAGGCTTTATGACTTGTACTGCAGCCAGCCCCCAGGGGGCGATCTGACAGCCAAGACCTTCACTCAAACGCAAGCTTGCGGCACACTTGGTTCAGAAAAAATAAAAAATTCCAATAAAATATTTGGGTAAAAGTTGAAAGATGGTTGGTTGATTGATAACATTATTGGTAGATGGAATGCAAACATGATTTATTTACTGATTGCTTGACTTATTGATTGCTTGATTGCTTGATTGATTGATTGATTAGTTGGTTGATAGCATTATTAGTAGATGGAATGCAAACATTATTTATTGATTGATTGATTGATTGATTGATTAATTGTTTGATTAATGTGTTACATTTTGGGACTTTTTATTGCATTTTTAAAAATATATAATTCTTGTTTGATTAAATGGAATAATTTGTATCTTACATTCACTCAGTATGCAGACAGAACAAAATTTTTACAACATTTTAAGTTTCTCAACAGATATATGGTGTCAGTGCATATGTTATTTTATAATGCTTTTGATCTTCAACTCAGGTTAAACATTAACATGGGATACTTACAGTAAGGACTGGTTTCAAACTCAAATCGGCGACTAAAGCCTCCGTACCCGGCGGAGGTGCGTGCTCTGATTTGAAAGATGTATGCAGAGGAAGGTTTAAGGCCATCCACTAAAACCTCCGTCTCCTTTGACTTGATGATTGTGTAGCTTGTTTCCTGATCCTATAGAGCAATCAGAAAACACAAAAACAGTCAGAGAAAGAATGGGAAAAGGATTATGGCCCTCCATCCCAAGAGAAAACCGCAAAGTGTGTGAGTCGAGGCCAGCAGAGAAGGATCGGTTTCATGGTCTTCACAGGCTTTGTTTTAAAGACCCGGTGTTAAGTGCTCTGTCCATTAGCTTTCATATGACCGGGTGTGGGGAGTCATGGCTGTTTCTCTTTTTGTAAATGCTTGGTATCAGGGTTTCACAGAACACTCCTAAACACTGAGGTCATGAAGAGCTGAGGCTCATTTTCAGTGAGATTCTGATTTTAAATGGCTCAACAAAGCAACCGGCAAATGCTGCAAGGTGAGGAGCAATCAGAGATGGCGATCGCTGAGGAGATTCAGTTTCAGCCTTTGTGAGGGTTGTCGCCAGTGGGGTGGTCTGATGAGACGCCCACTGAAATACATGCTGCAGGTAACAATACTTCAGTAGAGGAATAACTGACATCATTTATTCAAAATCGTACAGTTGGGCAGATGTTTGACTTTTTTCGTGGTATACAGTACATTGATAAAGGAACACTTTACTTTGTATTGAAAATAGGCTCACTTTACAATTACTTTAGGCTGTGTTCACACCAGATAGGAAGGAAGCATCAAGAGTAAATGATTTACATGTTAAGTTAATGCAAAGACGCAAATAGACAGCCTGCACATAACTGGTATTACTTCCGGTTTTCCTTCGTGTCTTTTCTATTCCAGACCCATCTCCTGCCGCACTCCCATTTTGTTATGGGTCCAGAAAACTCCCACAATTTCACCCCTGCCCCCCTCTGTACTTTTGTACAGTCTGTAACATCCCCGGCTTGCCGACTTTGGTATAGTATTCAACCGCAGTGCCCACACAACACCCGGTGCATAGTACAGTTTCTAATCTAGTTCTCAGCTGTGTTATACAGACACTTCACTCCAACACAAGCCACCACGTCCCCCAACCCACCCTCCGATTTCCTGGATTTTCAGAGACAAATGTTGGCAGGTAAGATCATGCACTGAGTTTCACGTGAATTACACGATTCAAGCGAATGAAGCGGTGCGAGTTCAGCTTTTTCGAGTTTCGTGCAATAACTCGAGTTTGGAAAATCTGAACTTCAGAGGACATTCACACCAGGTTAACCAATCATGAGCTTGCACTTGTAAGGGCATGATAATTATGTAGTGCCTGTTGTTGGTGTCCTGAGGGAAAATTATCTTGCAGACACCGACATCAGTTCATCAAACTGGGCTCGTCTCAGTCTGAAGCACAGCTGAAAGCCTCATCAATTTCTGAAGGAGTTGATAAACTCATAGAACTAGCATAGAACTCATAGAACTGGGTGCACTTCTGAAAGGATCTTTAGCACTCAGACACAGCGCCAGACAAATATACGCTGTTTTTCAGTCTTCCTAAAGCACATAAACACAGCTATTCTCTCAATAAAATCCATATTAGCCATTTAGCAACAAAGCTAGAGTCACCAGGTAGACAGAAGCCCTGCCCATGAAGCAAATCGAGGTCTATTGAGAGGTGAATGTTACGCATGTTTGAAGCGAATAAACTCAAAATGTTTGAGTCTATTTACCTGCAAATAGTGTGATTTATTCACATGTTCTGCATTTGGTGTAAACACAGCATTAGAGTTAAACAGTTGATTGTTTTTTTACAACTGATTCTTCCTGATATTTTCTAGGCCCATAACTGTCTAGGAATTTTACTCTCATTCTGGCGTAATAATCAAGGAACTTTCCTACCAACAAGGCAACAGACACAATGATATTAAGCAGATTCTAACTGGTAGTGCTGAGAACTATTTTCAGGCGCTGCCTAATATCATTTTGCCTGCTGAACCATGGCATGGCAGCAAACTTTCTTGTTTCCAGGATTTGTTTTTACTACTATGTAAGACAATGCTTATAGTGACCCAACATTTTTCAGTATATCTTTCTATGTGTTCAAACAGGTCTGGAAGGATAAGTAAAAGATAATAGGATTTTTAAAAATATTTATGGGTAAACTATCCCTTTAAAAACAGTAAAAAGCTGACTTTTATAAAATCTATGGCATTTTAAACTGAAAACTATTCAATTTAAGGCATGCAGACTTTAATAAAGCTAAAACATATGAACACAAAGTAAAATGAACAAGAAACAAAGTGCAACTTTCTAGGTCACTAATCAAATCTAAGCAAATGAGAGGTTACTGACCACAAAAAGTCGATGTCAAGGTCAGATCTGACACTCTTAGATTTTTTTTTCTGAGTTTGTGTGTGCGTGCGCACGTGCATGTGATGTAATTTGTAAGGTTTCAAAGTCTTTCACACCATTGTCTTAGATGTACACTGCTAATGATTTTTGTAAATTACACAGTATTTTAGTGTAATATGAACTGTATTTTACTGTAAAGGACAGTTATGTGATATGTTACATTATTTTAAAGTTGCATTGTAAAAATTACTGTATATTTTATAGTAAAGATATACAACACTGTAAATACACACAGCAAGATAAATGGTGCTGTAAATGTAAATACAGTATTTTAGCTGTAATTGATTTACAGTATGTTACTGTAGATCCTACAGGGAATTGTTAAACCTGTAACCATTTACCTAAAACCTGTAACCATTTACTTCAATAGTATTTTTCCATATATGGAAGTCAATGTTGACAGATTTTGAGATTTCTTCAAAATAGCTTCTTTATGCGTATAACAGAAAAAAAGAAAGTTGTAAAGGTTTAAAACCACTGAGGGAGAGTAAACACGTTTATATTTTAGTAAACTACCCCTTTTAATTTTAAATTTTTTTCCTCAATCTTTACCTTCTCAAAGTATTTGATCTCATACTCGAGGATGATGCCGTTCGGTCGATCGGGCTCTTGCCAGGACACCGTGATGCTATTCTTCGTCGTCTTGCCTTTCTTCACCACGGTTATAGGAGACGGAGCTGTGAACAAAACAGTTACATCTCACCTTACTTTTCAGTACAAATCAAGCAGAAAATGTATTTTCTTGCATGGTGAACTGAAGTCCTGATGCAATCCGCTGTAACCGTCAAATGAATGTTTCTAAGTCTATTTGCTAGGGACTTATTTTTTTGATAAGTCTGTCCCCTCAGCAACCCTTAATTAAATGAAGATATCATAATGCGCTAATTACTTTAACGCATTTCATGCTGTTCAGAAAAAAAGAAATTGAGAGGAGAGAAACACTGCAGACAGTTAGAGAGAAGCTCTTTCATCTTAACTGGCTGTGATGGCTTTGAGAAATGGCTTTGAACGTGGATTCAGGCAATGATGTACTTTAATGTTTTGGGGGAATCCTAATGATTGTAGATGTATGGTGAAATTCCTCCTGATTTAATTTTTAATCGCATAATGTTGTAGACATGACATCATGCTTTACAAGAGTAATGTTACTTTTTTACAAGGTTTACAAGAATTAATTATATAGTATAAAATGTATAGTCTATTAGTGTTCTGTAAAACAGTTGGACAGATATTGATGCTTTTCTTACTTGGATTTTTTTTCTTGTTTCTAGTCCAAATATCTACAAATTCTTGTAAAAAAAAAAAAATATATATATATATATATATATATATATATATATATATATATATATATATGGAAACAAAACAATATTTTTGTTAACACTATTTTGATGGTCTTTTTGAATATCAGTAGACGGTCTGCTTAATATCTGTTGATACTGCTGCTAAACAGACATTTAACTGACTGCAAGAAAATTAGCAATTACATGTCCACTTACACTAACCCTAACCCCAACCCTAATCCCAACCTAACAGTCTACTTATTATCTAATGAGAATTAGTTGGCATGTAGATACAATGTAACTTAAAGGTGCAGTAGGTGATCTTAAACAATGCTAACAGCTTAGCATAAATCACTGAATCACAGTCCCTTCCCCTGCCTTCCAGAGCCACACCACCTGAAACACGAGCACGCGCACCTTAAAGATGACAGCAGAAGATCCCTATCTCATGTGTTAAAAGCGACTAGTGCTTGTCTGACGGTGTGCAGGAATTACACTCACTGTAAAAGGACCTTATGAAACTGAAAAGAGTCACATCAATCTTTCATCAAATGAACTCGTCTTTCTCCAACCAGGAGTAAGCAAACTTACGTATTTTTTTTCTTTTTGGCATCTGTTTTGCTTTATGGTTTCGCTACATGTGGGGGAGCATCACATCACCTTCACACAAATTACGTGGCATCACCCCAGGAGGAGCTTGGCTGGACATGCCCCGGCCTGTACCAATTGTGTGGATCTAACCAGTCGTTGTTAACATTAGGAGGTAAATAAATATATCTATGCTTTTTTGTCAAACACTTTGGACAATACTTTAACAACATTTAAGATCTTGTAAAAACACGATTAAGACTTCTTATTAACTTTTAAGGGCCTTAAATTTCTCATAATTCATTTATAAACTTTTAATACTTTTTCAAACCCTGTGTACCCTGTGTGCATAAATAAATAAATAAATAAATAATTAAATGAATGAATGAATAAATGAATGAATGAATGAATGAATGAATGAATGAATAAATAAATAAATAAATTAATAAATAAATAAAATCCCTGATCTATTATAAATAAAGAAGTAAATAAAATAATTATAATAATGAAAAAAATACAAATGCCAATTAATATTTAATTTGTGTGTGTGTGTGTGTGTGTGTGTGTGTGTGTGTGTGTGTGTGTGTGTGTGTGTGTGTGTGTGTGTGTGTGTGTTTTAGGGGGGAGAGTTGGGGTTCAACATTTAATCTCGAGTGACGTCACTGGCGTCACTGTCTCCGTTCGGTCACACACTGTGTGCGCTTGAAGTTTGGACTTGCTATTTACTCGCAATTTAAATCTTAATCATAAAATTCTTCCTCATTCGCTAAGTATTTGTCTCTCCTACTCAGGGTGACCAAACCCTTAATACATTTATACAAACAAAACTGCTTTAAAAACTGTCTGTCCCTTGAGCATCCGCCTGTTGTTTGTAGCTTTAGCCTGCTAGCGCCGCTGGTCAGCTAAAGCTACCGACCTCTTTTCTCATACACTTTTGACTTACTGGCTTTGCTCTTTACCCCGTAAAATGTCGCTTCCGTCTCTGTCCTTGTGTGCAGGAGAGGCATCGATGGAGGCGTTGGAGCTGGAGCTGGAAGAAGTGGAGTCCCAGATTCGCGCGCTGGTGGTGAGAAGGTCGCGGCTACGGGAACAACTTCGTGTTGTACCTAATGCTAAGGCCGTCTCATCACCTAAGGTACGTGGAAATTACAACCACATCATTCCCTCTACCTCAACCCCGCGTCCTTCTCTGTCCATGCCCAGCGCAACCGGGGCGCGGCTCAGCCAGGCGTCGTTCACGCCGACACCCAGCTACCACGGCGCCTGGGTGCAGCCGCGCAAGGTGCTTCCCAGATCCCGGGGCAGAACGTCTCCTCCTGTGTTCGAGATCTCCACGGAGAACCGCTTCTCCCCTCTCCGCGAGTCGGGTCCCGATGTGGCCATCATCGGTGACTCGATCGTTCGTCACGTCCGTGCCGCCTCCTCAAAAGGTAATAAAGTACGTACTTTCTGCTTTCCTGGTGCCCGTGTGAGAAATATTTCTACACAGATTCCAACCATCCTGGGCGCTGCCGAGAGCCCTGGTGCCGTTGTCCTCCACGTGGGGACAAACGACACCGGGCTCCGGCAGTCGGAGATCCTGAAGAAGGACTTCAGGAGCCTGATCGAGACGGTTCGACGCACCTCGCCCGCCACGCAGATCATCGTTTCTGGGCCGCTTCCTACCTACCGCCGAGGAAATGAAAGGTTCAGTAGACTTTTAGCTCTGAATGAATGGCTAATAACATGGTGTAAAGAACAGAAATTGCTCTTTGCTAATAACTGGAATCTTTTCTGGGAGCGTCCTAGGCTCTTCCGTCCTGACGGCCTGCACCCCAGTCGAGCCGGAGCTGAACTCCTGTCGGACAACATCTCCAGACTACTTCGCACCATCTGACTAGCAGTTAAAAATTCACACTATAGCCACCTAGACTCTTGTTCACCCAACTTAAACATCAGTAACGCATATCTGGCGAATCCTATAGAGACTGTGTCTGTTCTTAAAGGGCACCTATTGTAAAAAATCTTCTTTTCAAGCTGTTTGGACAGATCTGTGTGTTGGTATAGTGTATAGACCATCATACTGGGGTGATATGAACACACCCAGTCTTTTTTTTTCAATTTCACTACAAAAAAAAGGGTCGGCCAATTGGAGCTGTTTTGAAATCGATCGCACCATTACGTAGGTGTGCGATTCCCCCCGCCCACCGAATTGATTGACAGCTGCGCGTATTAACATATCCTGAGTTTGCCGTTTCCGCCATTATCAGCGTGAACGTCGAAGCGATGCCACCGAGAGAACACCCTTGTGCTATTTTAGGATGTAAGGCTCAGCACAAGAGCCTTCACCGTCTTCCTGCAAATGAGCAACAGAGGCTTAAGTGGCTGAGTTTTATCTTTGAAGACAAGGTGCCTGAAAATGTACCAAAACTGTTGTATGTTTGCGCTAACCACTTTAGCGTAGACTGCCTCGAGAACGCGGGACAATATAACTCCGGATTCGCGAGTAAATTGTTTTTGAAAACTGGATCAGTTCCTACAATACGTGATCCTGTCTCACTTCAAGTAAGTATTACAATTTATGTACTTCTAGCCTTACTATTCTAATTATGTTAAGCCGATGAATAGCATCTGCGGCTAAAGTAGCTTCGGCTGTTTGTTTGCACGTGTTTACCTCTTATTGTGCTTTTCAAAAACAGTCTAAATACTCGAAGCTGCATATGGTAGTGTGTACATGAAGGGGGTTTAGCCATTAGGAACAGAAACCGTAGAAAAATAGCAACATTGTAAAAAGCAGTACCACTGGCTACAGCTAAAGTTTGTTGTTGTTAAATGTTTGTTGTACTGTAATCGTAAGCCGAAATGAATAGCATCTAAAAGTTAAAAGCCGCTAAAGTTGCTTCGGATGTTTGTTTGCACGTGTTCACTGCTATTATGCTTTTCTAAAACAATCTAAATAATCAAAGCTATAAGTGGTAGTGTGTACAAGAAGGGCTTTTAGCCATTAGAAACAGAAACCATAGAAAATATAAACATTGTAATAAAGCAGTAACCAGTACTGGCTACAGCTAAAGTTTGTTGTTTATGTGGGATGTTTGTTGTAATGTGTATACTGTAATGTTAAGCAGAAATAAATAGCATCTGCGGCTAAAGCTACTTCGGATGTTTGCACGTTTACAGCTATTGTGCTTTTCTAAAACAGTCTAAATACTCAAAGCTTTAAGTGGTAATGTGTACATAAAGGGGTTTTAGCCATCAGAAACAGAAACCGTAGAAAAAATTAAACATTGTAATAAAACATTATCACTGACTAAGTTACAGCTAAAGTTTGTTTTGTATGTGGGATGTTTATTGTAATTTTTTTCACTGTACTTGCACGTGGTCTGCAGTTGTTTACAATAAGATCGGTATGTTTTAATCAAATAAAGGTCATTTTAAAACATGTATGTTTTCTTACAAAGGCCACGATGTCGACAAAGAGCAACAAGGTGGATGTTGCTTGCCAGACAGAAACTTTTCACACATCTTTACACAGTGTTGGTACCCAGTTGTCTTTTAGGACGCTTCAGGCTAAACGCAGGAGTACAAGTAAGTTAAAATTTCTCAGTTTATTTTAAGTTGCTGCATTAGAAACGTGTTTTATTATCTTTATAAACGTGCAATGAGATTAATCATAAAATTACACTATAGGTGTCCAGACAACAATATCCAGTTTTGAACTGACTGTACCATCAGCGTCCTCTACTGCGTTTATGACTTCGACACCCCTCAAACCTTCACTAAAAAGACCTCGTCTGGAGCTGGAGGAGGAGGAGGAGGAGGAGGAGGAAGAAGAAGCAGCAGCCGAAGAGACTTTGACAGAGTCAAAAATTATAGCCCAAGACTCGGATGTGACATTTGACCCTGCAGAGGAATGCACATCTGCAACTGAACCAACAGACTTGTCGTGAGTTTATGCATTATGTAAATTATTTGAAAGATTGTGTATTGTCATCATAACATTCATCATCATTTTTTTTATTATGTTAATGTGTATATTTATTTTTACAGAATCCAAGAATGCCCAGTTCATAACATTGCCAAGTTCATTGTCTATGAAACATGCCTCATGGAGCTCTTCAGTGACTGCCCAGTGTGTCAGAGGAGATGTGATGTAAAGTCACAAAGGCTTGGGACATTTCTGAGCGTACAGCAAGTCTGCCCACACTGCGAGTTTGTAAGAAAATGGAACAGTCAGCCAATTATTGGTAGTACTCCAGCTGGCAACCTGCATCTTTCTGCTGCTGTCTACTTGAGCGGTGCATCATTTTTTGTAGTTGAAAAGGTAATTATCTATCAAAATTTATTACATTTCTTTTAGAAACATAATATAAATTTTGTCACAGGGTGCATGCACATTGTACTAAAAATTCTCCTCTCTGTTGTCAGGTATTTGCTGCAATGAAACTACACATTTTTAAATATAATTCATTTCGCCGTCATGCAAGACTTTGCATTGAACCTGCTATTGTCCACAAGTGGAGAAATTGGCAGAGTGAAATGCTAGAACAGCTCAGTCGAAGAGAGAATGTGATTGTTGGAGGAGATATGAGGGCTGACTCCCCAGGTATTTAGTCAAAAGATTTAATTTCTAATTCAATACAGTCTAATAAAAAAAATAAATATGAAATACATTACAATTATTCCAAAAATGTGTTTAGAATAATTATGTACGGTTTGTTCTTGAAGGTCACTCGGCCAAGTATGGGATTTATACAATGATGGACCTTGCAACTAACACAGTGGTCGACCTACAGTTAGTCCAGGTAATACAGAAAAGTATTATGTGAACTAGCATAATATTTTGGATTGAAAATGTGTGATTTATTTATATATATATATATATATATATATATATATATATATATATATATATATATATATATATATATATATATATATATATTTTTTTTTTTTTTTTTTTTTTTTTTTTTTAACCTTATTTAAATTTTTATAGAGTAATGAGGTGGGTGGCAGTTACCATATGGAAAAAGAAGGCCTAAAGAGAAGCCTTGACCTGTTGGATGCCCGCGGTGTTCGTCTGGAATGCATCATCACAGACAGACATCCTCAAATACAGAAATATCTCAGGGATCGAAATGTCACTCAGTTTTACGATGTGTGGCATATCGAGAAAGGTATGTAATTTAGCAGTTATTAATTTACTTAAGATTAAATTGCTATTTACAGTTCTTACATGTTTATTATTATTTTTGTGTTGATGTCTTTTTTTCTTTAATTTCCAGGAATTTCCAAAAAACTGGACAAGATATGCCAGATAAAGGGGTGTGAGAAGTTGCGTAAATGGTTACGTAGCATCAAAAACCACATCTACTGGACTGCTGCATCATCCACAACAGGTCCTGAAAGAGTGGCAAAGTGGACCTCTATCTTAAACCATGTACAAGACAAACATGTACATGAAGACCCCAATTTTCCGGCTTGTCTGCATCCGCAACGGATAAGCAGAGACAAGAACAAATGGCTGTCGGCTGGTAAGTTGTATACAGACAAATAAAATATTCTTTGCGATTAAAACTAATGCAAAACAGAGCTCGTTTCTTTGTTCAGATTTGTTTTTGATTTCGACTCTAATACCTTAAATTTTTGCTTGTTTAGCAACGATGCCATTCTACAAGCTGGAGAAAGTTCTCGCTAACAAGAGAATATTGAAGGATGTGGCCAAGCTAAGTCCTCACCACCAGACGTCAACTGTTGAAGCTTTCCACAGCGTCATACTGCGGTTTGCACCCAAAAATGTGGTATTCCCATTTCTGGGGATGCTATGCAGGTAAAGCCAATGATCAGAAATTAATATTTACAATACTATACAGTCTTGTCATGGTACGTCATTTACATTTTTCTTTTTGTTAGGTTGTACTTGGCTGCACTTCATTACAATGAAAATGCCGGGCGTCCCCAGGCCACATCAGCAACTGGTAAACCTATTTACAAGCTTGCCTTTCCAAAGGCAAAGAAAGGAGAGTATAGGGTCCGAGAAGTGAAGACACAGCAAACTTTCGGTATGTATATAAATGTTTATAGTATTATTAATAATTCAATAAATAAAAAAAATAATTGCACTTTACATTCACAATGAAAACTCACTACTCAAAATACAAAATTAAGTTACTAAAGAGATAACTGTTATATTGCACAGGTTATGTAGAAGAGCTGCTGGACCTCATCTTCAACCAAGTGTTTGTGGACCCATCACCCTATGTTGATGAAGTGTTGGGAATTCACATACCACCTGCTCTATCATCAGCCTACGATCGACCTGAGATGGAGGAGGCTATCTCCAGCAGGGTGACCCGCTTCAATCAATAGCTATCCTAAAACCCACATAGCTGCCCTGCTCTTCAGGAAACTGTCTTCGAATCTTCAGCACCACACAGGCAGGAATCACAACACGGACTCTCCGCCCGAGGAAACCCCAACACCAGCTCACAAAGCTCCGATAAGCCAAAAAGCGGCACTGTCTAACAGAGACATAATAATGAAACATTGTTTTAGAAATTGCACTACAATTTGAACTTGGGAGTTATCACATATACATTTTTATTTTTTATAAAATAACTAGCTTTACCAAAATTTCAGAAGTCATATTTTGTTTATTCAACTGCCAATGTATATTTGATATGTTTGTATGTGTTTGTAGATATACTGTACTTTCTAATGTTCATGGACAATTGTATTTCATTCAACAAAGTGACAACTTGGAGTTTATATTTTCAAAAGGATACATTTTATATTTGCCAATCACATTTTAATTTATACTTCAATATAAAGTTTTTATATGACTCAGGAATTGAAGCATCTTTTCTGAAGGGTTGATGTTTCTATGCCATACTGATTTTTATATATTTTAAGAGTTTATATATTAATGTTTAGTGAATTTAAAATTATTTTTCAATAAAAAGTACATGCATTACTCAGCTTTTTATGAAGTCATTCAAATTGTTATCTCAGAAATAGCAGCAATAAAAAACGGTACGTATTTCATTTTTATTGACATTGAGGTAAAGTTGGTTTTATATTCAGATATTCGGACATTCTCCTTAATAGTATCATTTCAGTAAAATATTCTTTGCAAATTCAAAATAGGGAAATCGAATTAGCAGCAAATGACAAAGTACAACATTGTTTACAGTCAAGTAGATAATTTTAATGTTGTTTACAAGTCATACTTGCATGCTAAATACGATCGATTGTTTAAACTATCATGATAAACAATACAGGGACTTCTGAATGTGCGGATATAAAACCAACTTTATCGCTATTGTATTGACTACACAGCGTTAATGTGCTTAAAAAGAAAGCGAGCATGCAGATCATGAACAAGGTAACCTGCTATTATTTCTATTTATTTAAACTCACTTTTGCACTCCACGAAGTCGCAGGGGACCATAGTCTGCTTTGTATATATTCGATGCATTTTGCAAGGAATAAATATTGAAGCAAACGGGATCCATTCCTGGATGCTCCGTCATGCACGATGGTTGCATTTCCAGTTGATCCATTCGTCTTCTAACCTTATTACACGACACAGTTATGCTGTTTATTATCTCATTCGATGTCTTTAGAGCAGCAACGTTAACATAAACTGGAAATTTACCTGCGGTATCTCCCTGCAGCATACATTTTCAGCCTCAGTTGGCATTTTTTCACAATTGCCACACAAGCACCTGCCAATATTTGTCAACGTCAATATTCATGAATTACGAATAAATCATACCAATGCAAAATTGATCTCTGTGGATATCTTTATGTCTTGTCTGTGTTTGACGTAACGCATGACGTTCGCGAACTTTATCAAACAAATTACGGATTGCGCATGCATAGTTACATAGCGGCTGTAAAAGTATACAAAAACATTTGTTATTTTGTATGTACCACTCTGACACATTCTGGCACATTCGGATTATAGATTCCTCAACAGTCGACTCTGCTTGATCTGTGTCCGAGTCTGGGTCATATATGTAGGGTTGAATTGTGTTCCTCTCACTCATAATGACTCTTACTGTCTGCCTCTGTGATACGGTGCACAAAGCAGACGCGCTCTTGGCTCCGCCCCCTTGTTACGTTGGGCGGGCAGTCGAAACTCATTATCATGTTAAACAACACACCCCAAAACAGCAACCCGTGTACACGCCTCTAAATTTACACATTTTAACACAGCATAATAACCATATCTGAATTGCGTTTTGATCTGAACCTATATTGGCACACTCAGAAGAACCATAATATTAGTATTAAATCTCAAAAAAGGGCTAAAATATGTGCCCTTTAATTAGATTAAGAAATAAACGTACTGTGTGCTCCAGAAAAAATCTATTAAGAATCAAACCAGAAAAACCAGTAGAAAGTGAAAATACAAATTTCGTAAAACTTGGTCTCCTAAACATCAGGTCACTTGCACCTAAAGTACTTATCATTAATGAAATAATAACAGAAAACAATCTTAATGCACTCTGTCTCACTGAAACCTGGCTGAAACAAAATGACTATATTAGCTTAAATGAAGCAACTCCTCCAGGATTCTTATATAAACATGAGGCTCGTCAAACTGGTCGTGGTGGTGGAGTTGCATCAATCTTTAGTGATTTCCTTAATATTAAACAGAGAAACGGACTTAGGTTTAGCTCCTTTGAAGTATTATCGCTTAATGTTCAGCTTCCAGATACTATACAAAAACCTGTTATCTCTCGCTTTAATCACCATATATAGACCCCCAGGACCCAGGAAGAATTTTCTGATTTTATTTCTGACTTACTAGTCAAAACTGATAAAATGCTAATTGTAGGTGACTTTAACATCCACATAGATGACGCTAATGATACATTAGGGCTCGCGTTTATGGATTTAATACACTCACTTGGGATAAAGCAAAACGTTGTGGGTCCAACCCATCGCTTAAAGCATACATTAGATCTAATTCTGTCTTATGGAATCGAGATTATTGACGTAGACATTATACCACAAAGTGACGATATTACAGATCACTACCTCTTACTATATAAGCTGTGTTTACCTGAAATCAGCAAACCCGCTCCAATACTCCGCCCTAGTAGAACTATTGTTCCGTCAACTAAAGATGAATTTATAAATAACTTACCGGATCTTTCTCTATTTCGTAATGCACCCGCAAACTCAAATGATCTTGATGTAGTAACCAGCAGTATGGATGCCATCTTTACTAGCACACTAAATACTGTGGCACCCATCAAATTAAAAAAGGCTAGAGAGAATAAAACTATACCATGGTATAATAGTCATACTCGTACGCTCAAAACAGCAACCCGCGCCCTGGAACGTAAATGGAAAAAAACTAATTTAGAGGTCTTTAGAATTGCGTACAAAGACAGTATGTCCAGCTATAGGAGGGCTCTAAAATCTGCCAGGACCGAGCACCTGCGCAAACTGATAGAAAATAATTATAACAATCCTAGATTTTTATTTAACACCTTCTTTAAATTAGCAAATAATCGGTCATCCTTGGAACAAACTACTCCACCGCAAATTAGTAGTGATGACTTTATGAATTTTTTCAGTAATAAAATAGAAGGCTTTAGACAAAAAATAGAAGATGCCAAACTTTCTGCACCGGCTTATACTCCAAATCCTGTAAATATTTCATTAAATCATAATAATAACCTACACTGCTTCAAAATCATAGAACATGAAGAGTTAGTAAAAATTATAAATAGCTCTAAACCAGCTACGTGTATGCTGGACTCAATTCCAACAAAATTACTGAAAGAGCTGCTACCTGCTATAGGAGAACCTCTTCTTAACATTATCAACTTTTCTTTATCTATAGGCCATGTTCCAAACTCTTACAAGCTAGCTGTTATTAAGCCTATTATTAAGAAACCGCAACTAGACACCAACAACTTAGCTAACTATAGGCCTATCTCAAATCTTCCATTTATGTCTAAAATACTAGAAAAAGTTGTTTCCACTCAATTATGCTCTTTTCTGCAGACGAACAATATTTTTGAAGTGTTTCAGTCAGGTTTCAGGGATCACCACAGTACAGAAACCGCCTTAGTGAAAATAACCAATGATTTACTCTTAGCTGCTGACCGAGGGTGCATCTCGCTATTAGTTTTACTCGATCTTAGTGCGGCATTTGATACCATTGACCACAATATCCTCATAAATCGTTTAAAGTCTACAGGTGTCCAGGGACAGGCTCTACAATGGTTTAAGTCATACTTAACTGACCGCTACCAGTTTGTGAATCTTAATGGACAGCCTTCACAAATCTGCCCAGTAAAGTATGGGGTGCCTCAAGGATCAGTTTTAGGCCCTTTACTGTTTACAATTTACATGCTACCTCTGGGAGACATTATTAGAAGACATGGGATCAGCTTTCACTGCTATGCAGATGATACTCAATTATATATTTCAACTAAACCTGACGAGACGTCTGAACTTTCTAAACTAACTGAGTGTATCAAAGACATCAAAGACTGGATGACCAACAATTTTCTTCTCTTAAACTCCGACAAAACATAATTATTACTTATTGGGCCTAAATCTTGCACACAGCAGATCTCGCAACTCAATTTACAATTAGAAGGATACAAAGTTAGCTTTAGCTCTACTATAAAAGATTTGGGTGTCATATTTGACAGCAATCTAACTTTTAAAAACCATATATCCCATGTCACAAAAACTGCCTTCTTTCATCTGAGAAATATCGCTAAATTACGAAATATGCTATCCATCTCAGATGCAGAAAAGCTAGTCCATGCTTTTATGACTTCGAGACTGGATTACTGTAATGCTCTATTTGCTGGCTGCCCAGCATCCTCTATTAACAAACTTCAATTAGTACAAAATGCAGCAGGCAGAGTTCTGACCAGGTCTAGAAAATATGATCATATAACCCCAATTTTATCCTCCCTACACTGGCTGCCTGTTAAGTTTCGTATTGAATTTAAAATATTACTTCTCACCTATAAAGCTCTAAATAATAGGGTTGGGCATCTAAGCTATAATGCCGATCCGATACGCATCTCGATACAAAGAATACGATCCGATATATTAGCGATACATTTATGACATATTGCGATGCGACACGATACGATTCACACCCATATCACGATACAATGCGATAATTCAGCACTAACTAATTAAATCAAGTTTATGAGATTATGTGAAAGAGGATGCTGTGCCATTGAATGAGTTTGATTATTTATTAACCAAGCAAAACCAAGACTTTTTTTACAAACTGGCTTTTCTCTCAAAGCCAGAGTGTCAGTTTACAGTAGAGGGCCATTTTAGAACCTATAGCACATATTATTTAAGTATTTTCAAGATAAACAGAATGTATAAGTGCAATATATATTAAAAAATATATATTTGCACTCTTTCAACATAAAGGTTGAGCATTGCACAACAAGAATTGTGTTTTAACTTTTCAACTATGAAAACAAGTTTTACAAAGATATATTTTGCCACTGATTATGCAAAACTTAAGGTGGTGAACTAGCAGTGTTATGCTGCTTTGAAACATCACTGTCACTGTAAACAACAGGCTAATAAAAATATAACAAACCAGCAATCTTCTTGCTGTGAGGTGGTCAAACTACCCACTGTGCCACCGTGACACCCATTATTTTTATCATTATTATTATTAATATTATTATTATTATTATAATTAAATAAAAATTAACAGGAGGAGGTGTTTAAAACCGCCTAGTGCGGCAGTATAGAGAGGGCGGTGTCCGCAACACCCAGTTATATCCGCGCATAGGGTGGCAGAATAGAGGTCCGCGACACCCGCGCGTCCTCAGTTATATCCGCGCATAGGGCGGAAGAATATAGGTCCGCGACACCCGCGCGTCCTCAGTTATATCCGCGCATAGGGCGGAAGAATAGAGGTCCGCGACACCCACGCGTCCTCAGTTATATCCGCGCATAGGGCGGCAGAATAGAGGTCCGCGACACCCGCGCGTCCTCAGTTATATCCGCGCATAAGGCGGCAGAATAGAGGTCCGCGACACGTCACTTCATTTTCATTACCGGTCACTTTCGTTTTCACATTGGGGT